TCAATATTCATATCTATATTCTTTCAATCATGTTGTTAAGTTTAAATTTAATGCAAGATATCCGCACTAATATATAAGTAGAGATGTTACAGAATTTAACAAAGGGAGTATGTGTGTGAGCAGATCATTCTAGCCTGGAGTTGTCACTTACCAGGGCTGGGTAAGAAGGGTAGCCTCGGCATTTAGCCCAAACAAGATCCAATGGGTTTAATGGGATGTCGTCCTCGTCCGAAGCCCAGCTACTGCTCCGCGTCTTGCCGGCTATGTGATAAAGATATTTATTTGAGGTCAATTTTATAGTGTTTTTCCAAAGACTAGGTAAATTTTTAAGTATAAATCCATTCCAGGAATTATTCCTAACTACAAAAGTAAATGGCTGTAAACTGTAACACTGTAACACTTCAATTAAAGGCTAGCTAAGCAGTGTCTGGATAGATAAAACCAATGTTACAAAAAAATGGCGACCTTTCATAATAATGATACATGCATGCACCTACATTTGGACCAAGTGCAAATGTAAATCCATGTCCAGATTTATTCTAATGAGTTATGATAAACCCCCAACTTTCCCAGGTTTACCAACTGTTTCACGAAAAAATAAAACAGTTTTTATGTACACCGCACACACTACTGAAAGAAATGAAATATAGATGAATAGAATGTGTTCATGGACTTAAAAAAAAAACCAAAACAACGAAAAATGTTAATTAGCAAAATTAATAATAATGACGTGAGCAGTAGCAGGCAGTGACAAGTATGTTGCTTTTGTTGTGCAAAAGTGAGTTATTGTGGTTACTTGAATGAAATAATAAAGTTAAATGCACGAAAACTAAAGACTGGCAAAGTATCCCCCATGAGTTCAACAAGTAACAGAGATGTATAGTATTTCAAATGTACACAAAACATTAAATATATTTTTGATTCAAAACTACCATTTCAAACATTTATTTATTTAACTGTATATATTTCACATTCAACTGCAAGTACACTCTCCAATTACAGGGTAATGCTCTATAAACTAAATCTTATTATGAGGCTTAGAAGGTTGCTTTTAGTAATGAATAATTCCGTATGTGACAGGATTTATGAGCCTGCAATTTTAAGCATCTCAATCAAGGTGCAGCTCCATTACAAAGCAATCAAACATTGGATGCGATTGTTCAAACTAGTTTTATGTCGGGAACACACTGCCCTGATATTCGTCAGTGATGGAATTCCACGGAGAATGAAACAGGAAGAGGAGAGCACTCAGTTAGTACTAACAGATCAGAGATGGTTAAGTCAGCCCACGGTCATATGACAGTGTTTGCCCGTCTTAAAACAAAAACATATCTCTTAAAACATATACAGAAGAAATGTCTAATTGAATACTTTCATTATGTATCTAAATTAAGAAATTAAGTAATGTTACCTCTTATCAGACCAGCAGCTCTGTTAGCCCGACTAACTGTACTTGTGCTTTCCTCACACGATGCCTCGCCATCGCTGTCTTCATGAATGTTCCCTTTCTTTGGCTTTTTACTTGTACCCTCTTCACCGTGGCTTGAGCAAGTCTCGGATGTTAGACCATCTGAAGTGCTACTGACGCTCTCGTCCGAGTCAGAGCTACTACGTGGGCGATTCGTGTCCACTCGATAAGTAAAAAAGCTGAAGCCTTTTGGTTTGACAGGCTCATCAAGACCATTACTTAGTTCAGAGTTATTGTTCATGGATGATTTCTTATCATGCGATTTTTCTGTGCTACTTGAGCTAAGGGTGCGTCCTGACTTTTTTGAAGCCTTTGGGCTGCCAGCAGGTGAGGGCAGTGTTCCTTCATACTCTGTCTCTACATGCAAATTATCCTCGCTATTTAATTTTTTAACTGGTCTCTGAGATTCCACATCAAGAGAAAGTGATCTTTTCATGCTCTTCCTACCTGGAGATTTACCAGGTTTTCTTCCACGAGGTGAGGGAGTTACTATAGTGACAGTATGACGGCGTCCTGGAGATATTAGTTTTGCCGGTGTCTTTGGCAGAGCTATCGATTCAACTTGTTTCGGAGATGAGAGTTTCTCAGATGGTTTAGGAGATTTTGGAGACTTGGGAGATGCAAGTTTTTCAGATGCTCTCCGAGCACAAGGTGATTTTCTTCCAACAGGAGATTTGGGCTCCTGAAATTTTGAAAATTCCGGGATTGTTGGTGGGATGGATAAGTCCTGCGAGGAATTGCATTGTCCTGATAATGTACGAGTTCTTCTCCCTGGTGAGCCTTTTGGTCGACCTCGACCAGGCCTGCCTGGACTGGACTTGCTCCTATTTAATATTGGGGCTGGTTTAAGAGTTGGAGGAGAAGCTGGATGTCTTCTTGTAGGAACATCACTTAATTCATCACCTACAGACAAAATAAATGCACAATAGTAAGTTAATAATAATAATAATAATAATAAATAATAATAATATTTGAACATTTATAATGCGCTAATTTCAAGTAAATGATCAAAAGCGCAGAGAGTACAACTAGAGAAAGATTTTTAAAATTGAAAATGCAAAGTGGGGATGGACTAAAAAGAGTTAAAGAGACGGGATTTCAGTTTTAACTTAAATACATCAATAGAGGGAGGCAGTTTTGATAGAGTGTGGCAATTTGTTCCACAGCGATGAAGCAGCATAGGCGAATGTTCTTTTGCCATATGTTTTTTTTAATACATACATCTAGTGCAAACATCCTCATGCAGGATATTGAATTCTTCTAGACTATTTCATTATGCAAACACATGTTCTACATGGTATTTTTCTTACAGTGTATGCTGTTATATAGAAATAAATTTGTATTGTTTACGTAGGTATATCGTGCAAACCATCTTAGGATCCATAACCGTAGGGCAACAGGGCTGTATGGACCAGTAAACCAGGTCAACGCCCTACTTGTCTCGAAAAGGTGTGCTGGGTTCTTAAAGTCCACATGAGCCAATAGTGTACACTGGGCCTACGGTTTATAGTCCTTACCCGAGAAGACCTGTTCCACCACCAAAACCATAGCGGAGCATGCCGCTCAAACCTGCGCCGATATTATGGCTGTATGTTGCGGGGCCGAATTAACCACTCGGCCATTTGACACCTTATCAATATTTACCTGAAGTGTGTGCTTCTGATGTACTGTCAGCTGAAGTGTCATCTTTGGTTTTGTTCAATCTTATTCCCGGCCCCTTTTTTACTCCTGTCCGTTGCATCGTAATCTTTCGTCTAATTATGTTAATTTCTTTGCGGAGCTGCTTGACACGTTTTGCGCGGGCCAATCCACTCTTGATATTGCAGGTCATGTCGAGTTTCTCGAGGAGACTATTAAGCTGATCTTCCAGAGGAAGATGCTCACGATTCTCGGCACAAATTGCATTATCAACTAATGAGAGGTGGGGGAAAAACAAGATAATTAGTTCGATTAGATTTATTAGTTACTCATCCCAATTATAAAATATGCAACAATGCAAGTTAAAATCATGGTGTATTCAGTGTGTGGATTAACAGTTGTTATTAATGAAAACAACAGTCAAATCCAACAGGAATGGATTGAACTATGTTCTCTGTCTAAGGTTTAGAGTATAAAGTCATTTTTGTCAAGAGTGTATATCCTTGTTATAATGGAATTGCCCAACATGGAGGTAATTAAGAAATTTCTTATCTTCATAAGCTCTAAGCAAATGAAAACAAATCATGAATGGAGGTCTTAAAAACACAACATAAAGCTCTGTACACATTATCAAATTTTCTTTGACAAAAAACTGCCTATATATAGTCATGATGTGCTTATATATGGTCATGATGTGATGTCATCATGACCACATATAGGCATGTCACATGTTTGTCAACCAGAATTTGATAGTCTGGACAGGGCTTAAGGCTAAGCCTGACTTTCATAAAATCGCTACACTCTATTACCAATCTTCAACAGCACTGATTGGTTGAGTGGGAGAGCTTTCACAATTACTTTGGAGACAGCTCTGCAGTGTAATAATTGCAGTGAAAAGCTGTAAGCAATAGTAAAGTGACTTGGACAATCAGGCTTAAGTTAACTGGAGATATATCACAAGTAATACATTAAACTCACAATCATCTAACTTGAACTCTTCAACTTCTTTCACTTCTGGAGCCTTGACTGTATGCATACCAGTACTGGAGTGATAGCCTGCTTTCTCAGCTAAGCGCTTTGCTTGCCGAATGACAGCACCGCCCTGAAATAATGGAAAAGGAGATGAGAAGTATGGTACATGACAGAATCAATTAACAATTGTAGCACTAATTTTAAGTTTAGCTATCTACTAAAGAGATTTAATTATATTGATCCAATATTGTTTTAAATCCTGTGAAAAAACAGTGTCTTAAAGAGGAACAAAAATAATTTGGGCACAATTGTTTATTACCACACACCTCCCCCCATCCCCGCAGGGTTCTGCAACCTTCAGCAGAGGTGGCACCAGGCCGCTCATACACCGTCTCCTGTTGCCACAAAAAGGTTGTCAGACCAAAAGGAAAAGAAATAAACCAAAAACAAACAAAAAAACTTCCTCATGTTGAGACTTAATTTATAAAGCATTATCGAAAATCCCCCACTGCTAGATAACAAAATCTAAAATACACAAAGATCCTCCTAGTAAACAAAAAATATTTAAAAAAATAATAATAATTAAAAAAAACCAAAAAAAACAAAAGCTTACTTGGTCTCTCATCTTGACAGCATCTCGATAGAATACTGTTTCTTTACCATTATACAGCATACAGTTATCAATCATCTGCTCAAAGTCGGTCTCAAGATCCGTGACGGAATGATACTTATGGTTTTCCAGCCTCTTACGCATTGTGCTAAAGTCCACAGGCTTCTTGATTACATCATAGTAGTCTGGAGCCTATAATTCAAATTGTAAATGTAAATGTATGTTTCTTGTTGAAAACCAACAAGGATATTTTGATTAGGCCCCAAGGACCTGCAACAACTGCAGTGCAAGGCTTACCATGATCAGGAAAATCCCCCTACTCTTTCATGAATGGTCTATTGAGAAGCTTAAAAAATCTCCCCCAATGGAAATTTGTCTAGAGCAGGGTTTGGCATAAAATGTTTCGGAGGGCCAAACAGAAATTTCTAATGTGCTTACAAAAACCTTCATACATTTTTTATACTGCTTTATGAGCAGTTTTGATATTACTTTTTACATATGTCTGGACTTAACAACTTAGTGTTTTATAACTAAAGATGGTAGGTAGCCACACACATAGGTTTTTAGTTTATCAGGCCACAGAAAAATTGTTGTTGGGTCTAAAGCAAAGTGTCCTGCTTAAAGGAGTGTAGTAGGACAAAGTTAATACCCTATACACCTATTTATTATGATGACATAATTAATGTTGAAATATTGAATCTAACATGATGGCGTACATTTTGATACTTGGAGTATCAATTTTATCCGAGATTAATCAGTGGACCTTTCGGTTTTCTATACAACTGTAATACTCTAAACAATGGTAGTTGTTATTTTTTGAGGAGGCAGCACAGCAAACAATGACACACAAAAGGACCCAACAATTGAATGGCATTATAGATACCTCTTCAACTGTTACAGGTTCAGCAAAAATATTATGCAAATCCTTCTCTTGAAGCTGTGATAATGTTGACAACAACAGGACATTGAGTGGCTTCAGCTGCAGTTCAAATACCCTTTGACTTAATTTCAACTAGAAAAGAAGAGTAAATAAAATATTAATAATACTACTATAGTAATCATAATATTAACATTTAAAAAAAAAGCAGACGAAACCAGATTATAACTCATTAACGTTAACTTTATAATTGTTACAAACAATTATTATAATACAATTTTAGTACACAGGTAAAGTGTCCTGTACAAAAAATGAAGCAAAATGCACAGCAAATGATTCAAACTCCCAAATTCATTGAGAGCTTGAACAACAACGTTTATTATGGGTGACATGCAAAATGCAAAGGTAATGGTTATGTAAATGTAACAGAAATATAAATTAAAAATAAATGAAAAATGTTTTTGTTTTTTGTTATACGTACATGTTCCTTCTTTAGTTTCTCACGTTTCCTTATGAGCTCTACAAGTAGCCTTGCTCTTTCCAAATCATGACGTAATCGTTGCCAATATTTGAGATGCTCTTTTAATTTAGTTACCTTTTTGTCTTCAACCTATGAAGGGAAAAAATCAACATGATAAAATCAACACAAATAATTACAATTAATTATATTGCAACAAAAATATTAAAAGGCTATTGAACAGTGTTTTTAGTATGCTTTATAGAAATAATTAGTTACTTCAATCTTAATTCATGAACCATACAGTATTCTTCCATAAACTTTGAAATGTCTGGGATAACCAATATACAGTATGCATTGTTTCCATTTTTTTGATTAAGTAGGTGAAAGTTCACTGTAAATAATTAGTCACCTATTTTAAATGCATAAATACTGCATTAGTGTTTCTTTCAACGATCTACAGTTAAAAGCTCGGTCCACACTATTAAATTTGATGACAAATTTGTGTGATGTGCCCATATATGGAAATGATGATGCCATATTACATCCAAATATGGGCATAATTAATTTTTTTTTGTTTCACATAAAATTTGATAGTGTTGATTGAGCTTCATAGAGAAACAAAATAGTTATTTACAAAAATATTAATATCATGGAAATAAAGAACATTTTTTTTAATCTCAAAAGAACAATAACAAATATTTTGGTAATACTGTACATACAGGATTCTTATTCTTATGTGACTGATGATGTGCTTGTAGTCTACGCAACAGGGACACTCCATTACGAGACTGTCGCTTTAACGTCCAGTATGCTAGAAGGCGTTGCATAAATTGCTGTTTCTTGGGCAAGTTCACTTTGGATGTTATCTTGGATATCCTAAATCAAAACAAAGCAGTAGGTGTTAGTGTTCAGTAAAATTGTATACAGTAGTTCAGTCATGAATATCACATGATTCATGTCATTCCCTGCAGCTCTGCAAAAATTTAACAATTTAAAAAAATTTACAAACTGCTTAATTATTATCTTATTTTAAAAAAGTAGCATTAAAAAAAAGTAGTTGTATAATTGGAATCTATTTTTTTTGGGTTTGCTTTTTTTTTGGTAACTCAGTTAAAGTATTGAAAGCTTCTAAAAAAATATCATAGTATCACAACAATTTACCTTTTGGGTGGAATACATGGAATTGATACAACCGGCATTGCCGATCTCTTCTCAGCTAGAATTTTCCTGGCTTTCCTCATGTTCTTTCGAGATTGTGCTTTAGCTTTTTTTGCAGACCAGCCCTTCCCCTTTCCAGTAACATCCTCATTAACTGGTGACTTCTCTTTCCTCAGTACTGGTTTCTTTTCCACTCCTGCTGGTGTGTGAATGTCACAGAATGCAGCTTTCCGGATGCTTATTGATGTGCCGTTAATTCCGGGTTCACGGACAGGCTCCATCTTCATAAACAAACTTGCCTGTTGAGCGCACGTCACATGGAAAGCAGTATAGCAATTAGCTTTGTGACACTGAATGCAAGCCCCTACATTCCGCTGTTTACAAATATAACAAGTCAACTTCCAACGGGCTGCAGGAATGTGATCTATGCCATCCACAGGTTCTAGAAATACAGTATTTGCAAAGCCAACTTCTGGAATCCATAGAGCACATACAACATGAGCCCAGCGGCTGTCATCTGTTTGCTTAAATGCACCGCCTTTATTTGGGCACAGCACACAATCTACAGCTCGTGATGGGGACTGTAAGCACCTTCTACAGAGCCACTGACCTTCAGGAATGTATGGCACTCCATAGCACTCCTGATGAACAGCTAAGTTACACATATCACAAAATAATATGACATTACTATTCTGACATTCACCGTCTTGACATATACTACATACAGCATCCTCATCAATCAGACTATTCGTGTCTGATTTCCCGGATGCTTGACTTTGGAAATAAGATTCTTTCTCAAGTCTATCCATGAGAGTCTCAAAAATTTCTTGTGGAACAAATGAATGACCATCTTTTTTGCGTTTTTCATTGATCATGTCGAGCCAAGCATAGTCCTCCTCATCCATGTCATACTCAACATCTTCATCAAGCTCCTCTTGTGACTTTTCAATAAACCTGAAATATGCACTGCCACGTTTTGGAGCATCTGGTAGTTCTTCATAGTCTTTCATCAATTTGTAAGATGCTTCTGGTAGCTTTGATGGTACTGGAGGACATGTGGGTTCTTTGCGCTGCTTCAAAGATTCTTTACCTTTTACTTTTCCACTTTTAACCTTTGGAGTCTTTGTCGGTGTCTTTTCATGTTTTTCTTGTTCTTCGTTTTCCTCATTTTCAAATTCATCTTCTGTGACAACATCTATATAATCAAAAATGTCTAGTCTGTACACATGCCCTTTAATATCCACCTCAACTAGACGTTGAGCTTGCGCGTATGTCAGAGCTTCTCTTTGTGGGGATTTCATAACTGGTGATGGCGACCTCCTTACAGTTCCACCTCCACGGCTTTTTCTCCAGGATCCCCTTCTGATCGGAGTTGTATAACCATTGCCTTCTGGGTTGTTGTGATCATAATTATATAGATGATATTCCATGCCTTGTAAACTCTTGTAAATTTTGCCACATTCTTTCACAGGGCATTCATAAGGAGGCTTAGTAGCCCGTAGATTCTCACAGAATGTCTTCACATCAAACTGTATTATTGGCATCATTGAAGGTCGCATTTGGATGCTTGAGATGGTATAAGATTACAAAATCCCCAAACAGGTCCTATCTATTTACCTCAGCAATACTCATTATGTTTGAAGCCTGAAAATATAAAAAATATAAAAACCAATATCAGATTATCAGTACAGTATTGTAATTAAATCTGAATAAATCATATTATTAAAAGCAAATACATTATTGTTGGATGGAGTATTTACAAAAAATTAATGAATGTTAATTTGGCAAAGATCTGTGTCTACAGTATTTAAATGTTATTAAAAGCCCTGAATTAATCAGAAAACATACCACATACAGTACAGTACAGTATGGCTACGTTCAGACTTGGAGATAAACCAGGTTTGAGTTAAACCCAGCTTAACTTTGGCAGGTGTTCAGACTGGCGGGATTAGCCAGGCGCGAGAATTTTCATAATAATGAATCGTAACCAGCAAGCGTGTTTCAAAACATTGCTTGCGAAACATACGCTCGCTCACAGTACTAAGTATTTGAATGCTGATTGGTCATTTTGTTACCAGAAGTCAATGCAAGACCCCTGCAACGATTAAAGCCCGGCTTAGAAAAGTTAAACACTGTGGAATGCCAGGCCTAGTTACTATAGGAACACAGCCCAGCTTGAGATAAGCCAGTTAGTTCAGACTGGCAGGTGGATAAACCCATTGAGTTGAGCCAGGTTTATCCAACTAGTCTGAACTAGGTCTATATATGCCATCCCATCCATGACATAATAAGGCCACGGGAATGAAAGTTGTAGATTTGCGTCCACTGCCCGCATACCTAAAAAGCTACCGCACGAAAATTTTCATTATTTTGAAAAAAAATATACTTCGTTTTAAAAAACGGAATTTTTAAGTCGTAAACAGACAGAAAAACGAATTATTATCACTGATCACTCGTCGCGAACACAGAGCGAAGGCAGGCCCGGCCACAAATCGACGCAAATCTACAACATTCATTCTCGTGGCCCAAACATATTTTTAATGAATATTAAATTATGGATATCTGATTGATGCAAATTGTACCTGTATACCATATATGCATAATGATTCATTTGACCTTATATCCTACATAAAATACTTTTTTATGAACATTATTTAATTATGTAAATCACGTTTTGGTAACATAACAAATAAGCAAGCTATGCCTTCACTGTACACTCGCGATCTATCTACAGTAAATACATAGTGACACTGTTTATGTCTGACCCGGAAGTTAACGATATCAAGGCATTCTTATTTATTTTTAGTACAGCTGATTACTACTCGACATCATTCATATAACCCTAAACAGCAGAACATGATTATTTGACAATCGATTAAAATAAATATATATTCGATTTTTATATAAAACGCAAGAAACATTTACGAGTAGTATCCCTGGAAAACAAATCCATCATCCCGTTTACAAATGACCTTTAGTAAACGGCTTTGAATGACAAGAATTCGATATGCACTCACGCAGACTTTGAATGGCTTCAGCGCGTAATGAATATTCAACGACCATAATATGGCAGGATAACGTGATGAGTTTTCAATGGTGGCGGGTGGCCAGCCTAGTAAATGATTCAGATAAATTAAGGCCTAATTACTGCTATCTGGGAGGAGTCTCAACGGAAAATATGCATAATGTAAATTAACACAAAATTTCTTTACAGAATATTACTATCGTTCTTACAATAGCACTTCCAAAGTATGAAAATCCAGGAAGAATCGCTTACCCATGCAATGCGGCGGCAGAGCTTCATTCAGTAAAAAGCGGCGATTTGCAGGGAAAGCCAACCGAACAAAGACGAACGCTCAGTGAATTGCCTCAAAGAAACGTAAAATTAAACAGGTTCATAAAATTCAAACGTGGCTCATAGGAGTAAAATGTATCTTCTGACAATTCCAGTTTGATTAACTTCTAAGAATCGACGTGAATCATACAAAATTCACTTATATCCTTTCGATATTATTTCACCTCAGTGGGTCAACAACCATTTCAAGAAGCGGATACAGTACATCGTTTGTACGATATCTGAAGTTGACCTCTCAGCTTCCTGAAAATAAAAGATTCGTTGTAGCGCCATCTATAACGCTCAAATTTCACGTGACTCTCCTTAGCCGTCGTCTTCGTCCGTCGTGTTGTGTTGTGTCAGAGGATCCGTCTTCGCTGTCATATATCTCAGGTTTTTAATTAGCCGGGTATTTAGCCCTCTAGCCTAGGCCCTAATTGGTGCTAATTTTTGCATAGGCTTAATTTTTATTTTAATTACGAGCGGACGGCAAGTAATGGGCGTTTTCTTAATTTATTAATGGTATGTTGCCTTGTTGTTTCATTTAATAACTTATTCATTCACTGTGTGATAGCCCCCTAACCAAATATTGTGTGTTGTTTTTTTTAGTTTAGTTTAGACTAGGCCCTAGCTAGCTTACGCAGCCTAACCCTGGGTTCAGTTGAATAGAGAAAGTGAGTCGTGTTGCAGACAGTGGTTGCAGAAGAACAGTATGTGCCTAGGCCTAGCCTACATGCAATAATCCTAGCCAAGCCATATCATTTCCGCAAAATATGATGGGAGGAAAGAACAGGAGACAGACTGTATATCTTTTGGAATCCACCTGATGTAAATAGATCCTTAAATTAATATCAGATCATTATTATTTTTTTGTGTGTTCTATGAAATATTTGGTGTTTTTTCATTCATATCATTAAAACATGCCTGAATGTAACTTCTGGACAGGTAAAAAGCAAAAATGCATATATGGCCCAATTTAAAACAACTGCTGTTGGTGGCAAACTGGTGCATGAGAGTTCAAAGATGGTAGAATAGGAAAATTTTTAACGAATGGTTGCTCCATGCTTCTAACAACTTGTTGTATATGCCTTCTCCACGAATCGGTAGATGTGGAAAAGACGTATTCTATTCTTGAATAAGATTGATAATATAGTGAACTTTGTCACTTTGAGCTTGGAGTCTAACATCTTTCTAAATGTTTACATTAGATAATTTCCAGCCATGGTTTTATGAAGGCAAGCTATTTAACAGACAACCATGAGATATGAGCTACTATGATTCTGATGTGCAGACGCCTTTGTTTGGCGAGCCTCAAACTAGAGTAAGTTATATTTGTTTTAATTAAGACATTTTATATGTACACATCACACTGTGGATATTTATTTAGTTAAAACAGTCAATAGCATATATTTAAAACAATGCAATAAGTTGTTAGCTTGTAATGATAAACAAATCAAACAAATTTTTTGCTGATTTACAAACCTTAATACTACATAAATTGTTATTGGTTTCCAGCCAGTTTTAGGGTCTGTATGGAAACTATGTTATCGCCGGATTTATGTACGTCTGTTTATTGGCAAATATAATTTGTTTTTTACTAATTTTCAAACTCAAAGGGTGATATCAACATCAGTCTTGATTTCCAGTGCATAATTCAAAAACCTCTTCACCCAAAAGTGCTCAATTCCTCAACCTAATAATACACTGCACTTTTCTGAAATATCAGATCTATAAAACCTTTCTTACTTCTTGTATTCCACAGGACAGAGCAGTTAACTTAGGTATTGGAATTGTCACTGGAGTTTCAGTTTTTGTAAGTAAAACATTTACTTTTACATATTGTCAGATTTTTTATTACTCATTTTATAACTCAAGTGAAACTGAATAATTGTGTTTCTTCAAATTGAAACATACAGAAAAGTATGTTAAAGCCAGGCTCTGGAGGTAAAAATTGTTGAAATGTTGTACAACTGAGTTTTCTAAGACACAAAAAGCATATTTGATGAAAACTTCGGAATGACACACAGATTTTTCAATATTTAAAAACTGGGGAAAAAAGGGTATAACTACCATTTTTCACAACTACCAAGTTCTGTTTATTGTGATTAAGATTTAATCAAGTTATATGTTTTTGAAAGATGAAATGTGGTGAAAATTCAGAATAGTTCATTAATTTAAGTAGATGTTTGATGCTATACACCTAGTAATGTTACAAGGCTCTGCAGCTCTCTAGTTAATTACTTCACCAAAATATTTAAAGAATACTCATTTGTCATCAGCTATTGAGCAGGAAGTTTTAAACATGATTCCACCCTTTCATGTTTCAAAGACTTGATAGAACTGAATAGAGGATTTTAATGATAGATTTTTTTTTGCAGATTACGTTGGTGAGTGCAATTGTTTTTCCATGGCCACCTCGTGGGATCAACCTGTTCTTTGCAACAGTGATTGTTTGCATTTGTGTGGGAAACATGATTCTGGTAAGGAAACCAAAGTGTTGTTTACCAGTTAATTGATTTAATTCTCCTTTCCCATCTCTAGCTTCTCTCTACCTCTCTATCTTCCAAAAGGAAGAAGCACAACATTTGATCTTATGGTCTATTCTAATCTATAATAGATTGTTATGTTTTTACTTAGTGGAAATAATAATAAGAGTTAAAATTAAATTTGATACTTAATGAAAATATTATTTAATGACATTAATTATACAGCAATACTACAGAAAATTTAACATGTTTTTGTTTTTTCCTTTGATCTAATGGTCTGTTCTAATCATCTATAATAGATTGCTATGTTTTCACTTAGTGCAAATAATAATAAGAGTTAAAATTAACTTTGATACTTAATTAAAATATTATTTAATGACATTAATAATAAAGCAGTACTACAGAAAATTTAACATGTGTTTTTCTTCAACAGATATACTGGTACCGGAAAGGAGATGTTGACCCTAAGTTTCGTTCCTTAATCTACTTCAATGCTTTCACGTTGGTTCTATTGTGTATAAGCGCCAACTTATATTTCCATGAAATAAAATTCTAACTCCAGGCTTTATTGTACATTATTATTTATATATATTTTATTTGAAATTGTAAAAATATGATGAGCGACTCTGAAAATTTAAATTTTTAATGGAAAATATGTTTATGTTATTAAATTAAATGTTACAATTACTGCATCAGTTTGTATTATAAAATATAATTCTAACGCCAGGCTTTATTGTACACTATTATATATTTATATTTTATCTGAAATTTTCAAAAATATGATGAGCGACTATGAAAATTTAAATTTATAATGGAAAATATGTTTATGTTATTAAATTAAATGTTACAATTACTGCATCAGTTTGTATTATGAAATAATATTAATTTATGTAAATTTTATAATTGTATTAGGTGTAAATCTCAATTAGAGAATTTAACAAATCCTGTTGCTGGACAGAAAAATTAACCTAACTGTACTACCATATCATGGCCTATGATAAGACACTTTTTGAAGTTACCTGATTGTTTAGTAAATATTTGTGATAATGATTTTTTGTAAAATTTTCTAATAGGGATGTACACTTAGTTGTATATGAACTTACTTTTCTTTGTGAAGACAAATTAATTAAGTATATTATGTGCAAATGATATTTTCGTGGATCTCATGTAATTTATTGAAGTTTCCATTTTATTCGAAGAATAAAAATAGTAAGAGTATGTGCAAAAAATATTCTACATTTTTTACTGTGATTTTAAATTGTAATATGAACCAATATTAGAGCGCCATCAACGTTACAATGTAGTGGACATTGGTGCAATATAATGAGCCTTTCCGGAGTGTCAATCTTAACTGACCAATCAAAACCGGTGCAGGAATACGCGTGCGTCTTACAAGCACACGTGTTGTCCCATAATGTATGTGTGTATGCTTTTACGCTGCCTTTTTGTGAGACCTTGGCAACACTTTTCAAAGGGGCGGGGCTTCAGCAGAAAGGTCCGTTGATAGTGATTGATATATAGTTTGACTGGTGGTTGACAGTTTAATTGTGACTAGTAGAATCAAGGAGGTATACCTCCTTGGTAGAATACAGTAATGAGTGTTGGCCATTATGTTCTTATGCTAAATCTAATGCAGAGATGACCTTCAGGGCTGAATATTAGGGACCCTCGATGCTTACAAAGTTACCCAGAAATGAGTGGGTCAGGGGCCTCAGGCTATCTTCTGGTCGCCAATTCCATTGTGGGATTTTAGATGTGCAAGTTTTTTAATCATGTTTGTACGTACTCTAAATATTAATAACAACGGAAAAAAAATTGCTGGATCAGTGGCTGATCCAGGAATTTGAAATAGAGGGGGACCAGGAAGGATCTGTATTCCTCAGCCCCACGATGGTTGGGACTGATGTAAGAAAAGTTATGATTATGTTACTCCTAAGATGGCTGTACTTGAATAGGTCTATAATTTTCTTTTTATCTCCATTTTTTTTTAGTTTGACAAATTAAAGGTGGGGGAGGTGGGATATATGTCCTACAGTCGATGTCAGAGACAAATTATGATGTATCAACACAGCCCTTGTGGATCAGGGTGTTAGACCAAGGACGCTATGGATGGGGCCCTGCGGACCCCCGCACCAAATCTCATAGGCTTTTGCCACTGCCAGGAATACATTACACCTTTTTTTTTTCAAAGAGGAAAAAAGAAGGATTAGAAAATAAATTAAAAATGAAAACTTGAAGCCAATGATTTTCTTTTCTAAAGATACGGGAGAGAGAAATGGTAACACTAACACATCTGCAAGCAGTGACGCATACATTTAGCGTTGTGCGAGTAGGCCTATACAGAGTTGTGTACTGGAAGATCAAGATGATGTTAACCAAGTCGCATTAAACTGGGCTGAAGGACTGAAATGGTAACACATCTGCAAGCAGTGACCCATACATTTAGCGTTGTGCGAATAGGCCTATACAGAGTTGTGTACTGGAAGATCAAGATGATGTTAACCAAGTCGCATTAAACTGGGCTGAAGGACTGAACATTTTTGAGCCTCAGTGCTGCTTACAACCAAGTTTGTTTATGGAAACATTTTTCAATAAATGTGTGAATGCGGGGCCACCGTTGCACCTTCAAGATGGACCTGTCAATAGACCTAGACTGCCATTCAAACTTAACCGACCAATCAGAACATGACCAGAACAAAAGAGGCCTCTGCCTCTCCAATTTTATTCCGACGACTTTTGTTTTTATTTACCCATTGCTCTTAAAATTCATATGGTCAGTGGCGTAACTCTGGGGCTGAGGAAACTGTGGCTTTCAGAGACATGGGGGCCCTTTTTCTGGTTCCCGGTTGACGATCCCATTGTATGATTTTAGATGTGCTCTTTCTTAATCGTGTTTGTCATTGTATTCTAAATTTTTTTAACGACGAGATATATAGTATGAGATCAGTGGCGTATCCAGGAATTTGAAATAGGGAGAGGGGCAGGGAGGAATTTTTACAGATGAAAGGTCCATACCAGAAAATATGGCACCTCTAGATGGCCGGAAATGTCACTCGCAGACATAAAATTTGAATATAATTTTTCTATTTATCTCTACAAAATGATTACAAATTGAAACATCCGCCATTTGATATATGATATATGTCCTAACAGTCGATGACAGAGACACATAATGCTGTTCGTGTATCAACAAAGCTCTTTTGAGTCAGAGTGCTAGATTCGTGGACCCTGGGTAGCGGGGCTCCTAAGTTGGGGCCCTGCGGACCCAGGGACGTAGCTTGGATTTTGAAAGGGGGAGGGGGAGCCCCGGTGGGGTCAATTGGGCGAATCCCCCTGTGAAGTAGCGCACTCTGAACGTTCTTAGGACTGTTTGAGAGGATAAAGTGAAAATTGCAATAGACGCATTATAAATAAGCGCAAAAATAATTATATAATAAATCAACAGTGGCAGATCCAGGAATTCGAAAGAGCGGTGAACCAGGGAGGGACATCCACAGACTGAGGAACCACTCACCTCAGCCCCACCATGGTTGGGGCTGAGGTAAGAAAATTTATGATTAGGGCTCTAGACGGCCGGAAATTACACTCTCGCACTTCAATTTGAATATACTC